CTGCAGTGGGGTCCCCTTTTCCCCCAGGGGCGCCCGGTCTCCTCCTTTCCAGCATGGGGAAAGATCAAGCCCCTTCCTGCCCCACATCTCCCCCCCCTTTGCTTTCCAGCAAGGGCAGTACCTTCCTTCTGGAAACCAGAGAGGCCAAGGTTGTGGGGGGCGGGGGGGGAGAGGGCATCAGCCCTTCCTCCTTGTGCCTGACTCGGGGTGCATGCACTCTGCACATGGTTGAGAGATCTCTGTTTGTCTGTGTGCAAAGCCCCCAGCCCTGAGTTCAGATTATGCCCCCTGGTCCTCCAGCCTGGGCCATTGCAGAGGGTGCTCCCAGCCCCATAAGTAGGGCTGGGGGGGGGAGCCTGCTTTCTTTCCCCCACCCCCGTGCTATGTGTCCTCAGCTGCAAGGGGGGAGGGACAAGGGAGACCCAGGGCGTCTCAGAAGCCGTGCAGGGGAGAGTTTCCCAGAAGCCGGACCCGAGGGCGAGGCGGGCGCGTGTCAAGGCAGACGCTCTTCCCCCATGCCCAGGTCTCTGCCTTGAAGCCTCGGCCCCTGCAGCCCCCTCGCTCTCCGGCGCAAGAAACCCAACCATGCAGCCCGAGGCCCTTCTGCACAGCGGCTACTTCCACCCCATCCTCCGCTCGTGGCAGGCCACGGCCACCGCCTTGGACGCCAGCCACCTCATCTACCCCATCTTCATTACGTGAGTCTCGGGTGGACTTTGGGCCGCGCCGGCATCCTCCTGGCGCTCCCGGCTGGCCTGTGGAGGGGGTGGGAGAGAGGGGAAGATCTGACCCTCCATCCGTTCCCATCCTGTGGATGCCACCGCGCACCCTCTCCTGACGAAGGAGCGCTGGCAAGGGGTGGCAAGGCTTTTTTATTCCTGCCCGCCTTTGCTTTTCCCCCCTCCCTCCCTTAAATCTTCCAGGGACACCCCCGATGCGGTGGAGCCCATCGCCAGCCTGCCTGGTCAAGCCCGGTAAGTGGGCGCATCGGTCCTACCTGGACCCGCCTCTCGCACCCAGACCCGGGTGGCAAGTCTTCTGACTGGCACAGCATCCTTCCTAAGCCTGGAAGGGCTCTTTCCGCTTCCCTGCCTGCCAAGATGTGCCAGGGCTGGAACGGGCAGAGGCCTGCATGCCAGCCAGCCGCCCTCTGTCCCTTGGCTGCCCCCCCCGAGGCCGATCAAGCCTCCTTCTGTGGTTTCCCTGGGGTTTCCATTCCTCCTTTGACCGGGCAAAGCCCTGGTTTTGGTGCCCCCTTGCCCGGTGGGTGGGATTTTCATTTCTCCAGGCCGAGAGAAGGGGAGGAAGCCGCCTCTCCTCTGGTGCCATGGCATTGGCACAGCCCCCTACTTGCTCTGCAGCCTAAGGGGAGCCGCATGTCTCTACCTTCCTGGCCCCACGTGAAGGTTTTATCCTAAAGGCAAAAAAACGGTTTCGTTCAGCGGACAGCAGCCATTGGGGGGAAAGAGGTGGGTCCACTCCTGGCAGACAATGCCGACGATGGGAGGGAAGGGCGGTGAGCGTCTTATCCTTTGGCCTATTCTCCTCCTCCTCTGAGGCCTGCCAGATAAAGGCTTCCTCCCGAGGAGAGCCGGCTCCGCTGATAAACTTTGATAGGTCGTGGTGCCCTGAGATAGAGGTTTTTCTGCTGGCGGCTGCCTCTCGGGAGGGAGAGAGATAAGGCTCCCTCCGAGCTCCTGGCCGGCCCGCTCGTTGGGGTAGTGGAGAAGGTGGGTGGGCTGGCACAGCCCCACTCCGTCCCTGGAGCGCCAACGCCTTCCTGTTGGATGGGTCCTGAAGTCGCTGATCCAGCCCCCATTTCAACCACGTGGCTTCTTATTAAGTCCGTGGACTTGGTGTTCAAGATTGGGGCCGATTCGTAGTGACCCCGTACCCCCTTCTTTTGCTCACGGATCTCTGCGCCCCCCCCAGGTATGGCGTCAAGAAGCTGGAGGAGCTGCTCCGCCCGCTGGTGGCCGACGGGCTGAAGTGCGTGCTGATTTTTGGGGTCCCCACCCATGCCGTCAAGGTGGGGAAACTGGAGGGGGGGCAGCTGCCACCTAGAGCAGTTTCTGCCCACAACGCGTGGGCTTCGCCGCTGAGTTCCCGTCTTGGGCCTCGGCGGCTTCAGCTGGGCTACCACGTGGTCGGTTCCTTTCTGTCCCGCCTCGCAGGACGAGTGTGGCTCAGCGGCAGACGCCGAAGACACACCCGTGATCCAGGCCGTCCGAACCATCCGTTCTTTGTTCCCCGAGCTGCTGATCGCCTGCGACGTTTGCCTTTGCCCGTACACCTCGCACGGACACTGCGGTAAGAGCCGCGAGGCAGAGCTGCCGGGCCTGTGCCAGCGTTTGGCACCAGTCCTGCCGTCAGATCCTCCTCATGATGCCCGCAGGGGGTCTCCTTGGAGAAGCTCGGGGGGCGGCGGCAAAGGGCCATGCCCTCTTTTGTGCCCTAAAGGTTAATGTCTTAAATAAATTAAATAAGTCAATCAACCGGTCTACTTCCTCCCTGGAAATCCTGGTGGAACGTGGCGGCGCCAGATGCTTCCCACGTACGGGATGGGCGAGGGGTGTGCTTCCGTTCTTTCCTGCTGGTGTGGAAAGGGGGGGAAGCGGCCCTTGGCAGAGAAGACCTCCCTCCGTGCGTGGCCGTCAGCGGCTCGCGTGGGTCGACCTTCGTGCCTCGCTTTTTTCAGGTATCCTTCGGCAGGATGGCACGCTCCAGAACGAGGCCAGCTGCCGGAGGCTGGCAGAGGTGGCCCTGGCGTATGCCAAGGCAGGTGAGGTGTGAACCGTGCGGTGTGCCCCCCACCCACCCGTCCGGTGTCCTGTTCAAAGAGGAAATGGATGTGGCCGGGGGATGCTGGCCCTCTTCCCGTCCTAAGTCATGGGAAGCCTTAGGGCTGGGCAGCAGCCTCTGAACCGGGTAGAAGAATATGTCCTTTTCTCTGGCTGACTGCGGAACTCTCTGCCACCAGAGAGGCTGACGGTAGCTGAATTGAGGTGGCCTTAAGACCAGATTAAATGGATGGGATGAGGTTGAGAGGCCAGCTGTGCCCGCGAAGCCTGGCTCTGAGCCTCTGCCAAGGATTTCCTGCAACAGCAAAAAGGAGTCGGTCAGCAGAGATGCGTTCTGCGTGTCCGTCTGTGCCCGGGTGCCGGGCGGGCGGACCTGGGAAAGGACCGAGCCAGCTGTGGGGCTGCTCTGCTGTTGCTCGGGGGAGGCGAGCTTAGACGGCCCCCAGCTCTGCTCTGCCACAAGAGGAGACCGGTTACACCTTCTTCCCCTCTCCCCAGGATGCCACATTGTGGCCCCCTCGGACATGATGGATGGCCGCATCCGGGCCATCAAGGAGGCGCTGGTCTCCAACGACTTGGGCAACAAGGTGGGTCTTGGCGCCGTGGGGCAAAAGGGCTGCTGCCTCCCCGCGGGAGACCCAGGCCTGGCGACCTCTCCGTCAGCACGCCGTGGGGCATGCAGGAATCAACCAAGTTCCTGGAGGGCGCTGGGGTTTCCCTCTCCCGGCCGGGACCTCGGATACACTTTTGCGGGTCCTGCTGTGGCCACTGGACCTCCAACTCCGACATTACCCCGGTGATGGGCTTCCTTTTGCCTCCTCTGGGGGTGGGTTAGGATGCTGCTGGCACGTCCTTGGCAGGCCCGAGAGAGGGAGGGAGGGAGGACACTCACCCACCCACCCCGACGCCTGGCACCGTCTCGCATCTCTGTTGTGTCTGCAGGTTTCGGTCCTGAGCTACAGCGCTAAGTTTGCGTCCTGCTTCTACGGGCCTTTCAGGTGTGTGTGTGTGTGTTGTTGTTGTTTCTGGACTTTTGGGGCAAGGCGGGTGGGCTCGTGGAAGGCAGGAGTGTCTCCAGTCGGCTTCACCCAAAGGCCCCGGCCAGTAGCCCATCAGCCCATTAGCTGTTCGAGAGGGCTCCTTGGATGAGTTGATGTCTCAAGGGATGTAAAGAAGGTCACCGTGGGTATCCCAGACGGCGCTCTCCCCTCCCCGGGGGGGGGGTCCTGCGCACGAGGTGAACCCAGGGGAGGGAATGGGCTGGTGGGGAGGTGGGCGGATTATCTCCTGGCAAGACTGACCCTCCCGGTCCTGCCCTCCACAGAGACGCGGCCCAGTCGAAGCCCGCTTTTGGAGACCGGCGGTGCTACCAACTCCCCCCAGGATCCAGGGGCTTGGCGCTGCGGGCAGTGGTAAGCGGGGGCCACTTGGACCGGACTCCGTTGGCAAGGGGTTCCTGTTTTCCCCCGGCGGCCCTCTTAGGAGACGGCTGCGGGAGAGCGACGGGGGGCATTTGCTTCGGCACCTAGCAGGGGAGAGCCCGGTGGCGGGACCGCCCGGTGGCCCAGAAACCAAGATCCTCTTAGAGGCATTAGTGCGTCTGGGGCCGAGGGATTACCGCTGAGCCTGTGACTAAGGGTCGCTGCTTGGCCTCCGGTGGGTCCCAGGGCAGCTTTCCTGCTTCGCTGGCTTCGATCCGGCTCTTTCGGGGACATCCTCAGTGAGGGGGAAAGCAGGCTGTCCTTGATGTTTTTGTTGGGAGCCCGGCTGGCAGAGCGCACGCCGCTCCCCTTCGGAGTTTCCTGGGGCAGCGGGGGGGGGATCAGCCCCTGGGATGCCCAGAGGGAGGCTGAGATGCTGGTACCGAGCGTGCATCGCCCAGCGGGAAAGAAGGAGGCTGTCGGCGGCTTTGATGGGTGTCAACAGCTCCTGGATCAAAAGGGCCGTCGTGTTGGATGGGGTATTTGTATATGCCGATTGAGCCCATCCGTAAACGTCTCCCCTCGGTCCTGGAGGGCAGGTCTGCTTAGGGGCCCCCGGGATGGAGTGGGTGCCGGCCGCATGGCACTTTCCCTCCTCATGGGCTGGGCGTTCCTCTGCCTCGCAGGACCGGGACGTGCGTGAGGGAGCCGACCTGCTGATGGTGAAGCCCGGGATGCCTTACCTGGACCTCGTGCGGGAAGTGAAGGACAGAGTAAGCCCACCTGAATGCGGGGCAGATGGGGGAGTCCCCAGCTTTCCTGCTGTTTCACCTCCCAGTCACATATGTGTGTATGTGTCTGTGGTTTTTTTTTCTCCCCCCCTTCCCAGCATCCTAATCATCCTCTGGCCGTCTACCACGTCTCCGGGGAGTTTGCCATGTTGTGGCACGGAGCGCAAGCCGGAGCCTTTGACCTGAAGGCGGTGGTCCTGGAGGCCATGGCCGGGTTCAGGCGAGCAGGTGAGACAGGGAAGGGGGCGGCGCGGAGGGAAGGAGGGGGGAGCACGGGTTGCAATGACCCCGTGAGCCCGGTGCCGTGGATGGACCAAGGAGGCCCCCCCAAACGCTTGCTCACGTCTCTGGTACTGAAGCAAAACTCTTGATACACCGTCAGCCCGATATTTCCTGTGTGGTTTCATAAAATAACAAGAGTTGGAAGGGGCCTCTTAAGGCCATCCAGTCCAACCCCCCTGCTCAAGGCAGGAATCCAAATCGAAGCAGATCGGACAGACGGGTGGTCCATTTTTCTCTTGAAAGCCTCCAGCGTTGGAGCGCTTCCCCGCCTCCTCCTGAGTTAATGGGTTCCGTTATCGTACTGCTGTAACAGTTAAGAAGGGTTTTTTTTTCTGGATCCTGGGTCAGAATCTGGCTTGAGCCTCTTATTGTGTGTCCTGCACTCGGTGAACAGATCCTGCCCCATCCTCTTGAAAGACAGCCTTTCCAGTCTTTAAAAAATGCTTATTTCCCCTCAAGCTTCCTTGCTCAAGGCAAAACGCTCAGCCCGATATTTCCTGTGTGGTTTCATAAAATAACAAGAGTTGGAAGGGGTCTCTTAAGGCCATCCAGTCCAACCCCCCTGCTCAAGGCAGGAATCCAAATCGAAGCAGATCGGACAGACGGGTGGTCCATTTTTCTCTTGAAAGCCTCCAGCATTGGAGCGGTTCCCCGCCTCCCCCTGAGTTAATGGGTTCCGTTATCGTACCGCTGTAACAGTTAAGAAGGGTTTTTTTCCGGATACTGGGTCAGAATCTGGCTTGAGCCTCTTATTGTGTGTCCTGCACTCGCTGAACAGATCCTGCCCCATCCTCTTGAAAGACAGCCTTTCCAGTCTTTGAAAAATGCTTATTTCCCCTCAAGCTTCCTTGCTCAAGGCAAAACGCGACCAGTTCTTGCAGTCTTGCTTGCTTTCTAGTACTTTTCCCAGGGCAATCGTATTGTCAAATACAGTGGTGCCCCGCTTGACGACAATAATCCGTTCCAGGAAAATCGCTGTTAAGTGAAATCGTCAAGCGAAATAAAAAACCCCATTGGAATGCATTGAAAACCGGCTAATGCATTCCAATGGGAAATACATCGTCCAGCGAAGATTGCCCATAGAGAACTGTCAATCAGCTGTTTGAAATCACTGTTTTCCAAAGCAGGGGTCCGGAAAGCAGCCATTTTGCGAAGGGAGGGAAGCCATTTTGCGGAACCGGAAAAATAAGCGTTTAGTGAACAAACGGTTTGCAAAGCAGGCTCCTAATCAACATAATGTGAAAAAAAACCATTGGAACCATCGTTTTGCGATCCCAATAGCAATCTCAAAAAACTAATTGTCAAGCAATTTCATCATCTACCAGGGTCGTCGTTAAGCGGGGCACCACTGTACATAAATCAAAGAAAGGCTCAGGATTGTGTGGACGATAAAAAAGAATCCGCCTGCTCAGATGTGGGTGTCAAATCCAAAAGTGGAAGAAAGAGGAAGAGAGGGGCTCTAAAGCACCCCAAATTGTGTCAAGAAGCCCCTTTTCGCGGGGAGAAAAGGCGAACGAGAGTCAACAGGAAAAGAGCTGGCACTGGGGAAACATAAGTGGATTGGCAGGCCTTCAACTTTTTAAAAGGAAACTTTGCTGGGTGTTTGTTTTGCTTTGATTTCTTCAATAAATATTTTCTCTCCCAGGGGCCGATATCATCATCACGTACTACGTGCCGCAGCTCCTGCAGTGGCTGAAGGGTGACCGGGCGTAAGCCCCCCCCCATCCTTTAGGAGCCAGCCTCCGTCTGCAGGCATGGATTTCAAGGGCCCCCCCCAAAAAACTCCCCCCCTCCGTGACGCTTAACGCCGATTGGGTTCCTTAATCAGGAACGCACGCCTTCCGACAGCCTCGGGCAGAAAAAGAGAAATTATTAACTGCCCTGCCCTCCAGAGAGCCGTTCTGCGCTAAGGCTGGGTTGTAAATTAACCAGAATGGTTTATGCAAGAGGAAACATTCGATTTGGGTGAAAGTTTTTTTAAAAAAGTTTTTCTTTAAAAAAACTAGTTTTTTTTTAAAAAAAAACTTTTTTAAAGGATTCCATTCTTCTACCCACCCACCCCCACGTCGCCGCCATTACCCATCGCAGCCATTTTATTGGCGAGGGCCCTCCCACGGACCGCCTCTCTGAGCAGCCCCGATGCCAAAGAGGGGAGCGTTTCTTGAAAAGATGCTAGGTATATATATATTTTAACCACGTCAGATAAATATTTTTTTTTCCAAATGCTGAAATATTTTTAAAAGCTTAGAGAACAACCCTGCCCCGGGAAAGGGGGGGGAAATATACTTTTTTAAAAGCAGCTTTGGTGCCTTTTTCGAAAAGCAGGGTTTGGGGTGCAAGGGGGGGGGATCCTCCAGCCTTTGACGGGAACGTGGAGGGTACAAATCTTGTGTGTTACTTTTCAGAAAAGAGCTGAAGAAGGCCAATAAAAATATCTTGTATACTCCAAAGAACTTCTGATTTTGTGCAAAACGGGCAAATATTTGGGCTACAGGTGGACTGAGGGGGCGTCTTTCAGGCCTGGTGGGGGGGTGTACTGAGGGTGGAGTAGGGGAGGGGAAGCCGGTCCGCCTTTTTATGGAGCAGGAAGCAAAATCTCCTGTTTGGAGCGATTGCAAAAATCCAAGCTGGACCGCCACGTGGCCGCGAAGGTGCACCGGACTGATTTCTGGCTGCCGATTTAAAAAAGGAATAAAATGAGTTTGCTGGGCTGGGGAGGGAAAGCCGGTCTGCCTTTTTATGGAGCAGAAAGGGGAAAAAATTCCCCTGTTTGGAGTGATTGCAAAAATCCAAGCTGGACCACCACGTGGCCGCGAAGGTGCACCGGACGGATTTCTGGCTGCCGATTTAAAAAAGGAATAAAATGAGTTTGCTGGGCTGGGGAGGGAAAGCCGGTCTGCCTTTTTATGGAGCAGAAGGGGGAAGAAAAATCCCCAGTTTGAAGCGATTGCAAAAATCCATGCTGGACCAGCACGTGGCTGCAAAGCTGCACCGGACGAATTTCTGGCTGCTGATTTAAAAAAGGAATAAAATGAGCTTGCTGGGCCGGGGAGGGAAAGATGGTTCGCCTTTTTATGGAGCAGGAAGAAAAATCCCCTGTTTGGAGCGATTGCAAAATTCCAAGCTGGACCACCACGTGGCCGCGAAGGTGCACCGGACGGATTTCTGGCTGCCGGTTTAAAAAAGGAATGTGAGCTTGCTTGCTTATTTATTTGTATTTTATTTCTACGAACACCGGACGGATTTCTGGCTGACGATTTAAGAAAGGAATAAGTGAGCTTGCTTGCTTGCTTATTTATTGATACGGCGCCTTTCTCCTTGAAAAGCACCCTCCAAAACGCCCCAGCTGGGGCGATCAAGCCCCCCCCTTTGCATTCAGACGAGCGGAGAAGCCCCGGGGAAGCCGCAACTCCTGGCAGAACCCGGGCAAGGGCGGAAGTGAAGCCGGCGCCGCGCATGCGCACTCGAGCCCGGTCCTGACGGCGGCTTCGCTTTGCAATCCGTGCGGCTTCCAATCTCTTCCGCCCCGAGAGCGGTTCTCACTTGCGGTAAGGGCTTGGGCCAAGATCCCGACTCGCGAGTCGGCGTTGCACCTGTTCCCACGCTTCTCTGCAAGGAAAAAAAGGGGGCCCTTCTGGGCGGGAGCCTCACACCCTTGGTAGCACTCTGTGCGCGCTCAGAGGCACCCGTTCTTGCAAAAGTTTTGGGGCATTTAATAGAAGGCATGCAATAAAAGGGGGCGTATGGAATGGGGGGGACAGAGCCGCCCTCATTCCTCTGCCCCCCCTACAATCTCCCTTATGGGGATCAGGATCCTTTTAAAATCTGCCACGCCTGGGGGGGGGGGACGGATCCTTTCCCTTAACTTTCCCATTCGTTGCTTCTTCCTGGCATTTCAAGAGTTTTCTTGGATTGAGCAGCCCTGGGCATTTTGTTGCAGAACAAGCTTTTAAAGAGGTAAATAAATGCAATTTTTAAAAATTGCATTTTTTAAAATTGCATTTAAACGCCCTTTAGTCACCCCATCCTTAACCAGCTTCCTAAATGAAATTTATATTTGAATTTAATCTCTCTCATATCATCCTCAAGGATTGCAGGCCCCCCACGATCGAGCAGCCTGCTTGGCCACCAGCTAGGGCGAGGGTTTTTTTTGAGATATTTTCCAAATCCTGGCTCTCGCGTCACAGTGACCAACACCAGCAGACCAACCGGTTGGGCCGGTCTATTGAGCAACATCATCACGCTAGGAAAGCTGGAAATTGCTGCCCAAACTGGAATGGCTGCCTTTTTTTTTCCGGCTGAGCCGCCAAACGGGAGCCATTCACCTGCAGGATCCTGGCAACGCATGCCACAGGTGGATCTCTTCCAGGGAATGGAAAAAAGGTCGATCCCCTTTTTTCCGCGGGTGGGGGAAAGGGTTGAGGACAAAGTTGACTTTGCTCCTGGTGAAAAAAATTAAAAGATTTTGCATGAAGGCGACTGGGACGAAGAATACACCGAAAAAATTAATGCAGTGGTGCCTCGCTAGACGATGATAATCCGTTCCACTGAAATCGCTGTTTAGCACAATCATCGTCTAGCGAAAAGCATTTCCCCGTTGGAATGCATTGAAACCTGTTTAATGTGTTCCAATGGGGAAGAATCATCATCTAGCGAAGATCGGCCATAGGAAAGCCACTTTGCGAACCGCCGATCAGCTGTTTAAATCGCTGTCTTGCGAAGCTTAGGTCCTGAAAACACCTGTTTTGCAAGCGCGGAGGGAGCTCTCAAAATCGTCGTCTAGCGAAAATCGGTTTGCGAAGCAGGGACCAAACATTGTCCAGCGAAATTCCCCCATAGGAATCACTGTTTTGCGAATCGCTGTAGCGATCGCAAAAAAGCCAGTGTCTAGCGAAAAAAACGTCATGCGGGGTAACTGTCTAGCGAGGCACCGCTGTGCTTTGCCCCCTCGAGTCAGGGAATGAGACCTAGTTTATTTTCTTCCTTCTGTGTCGTCTTTCCAGGCCGACGGAGATTCGCTGTGATTTACTCCTCGGGATGCAGAGGCTGAAGCTTCAGCTGCTGACGTGGGATGTGAAGGACACGCTCCTTCGCCTCCGCGTCTCGGTGGGGCAGAGCTACGCGGGTCACGCCCAGGCCTACGGCCTCCAGGTCTCGGCCGAAACCGTGGACCGCGCTTTCCGCAAAGCCTACGGGGCTCAAAGCCAGCATTTTCCAAACTACGGGCTGAAGAGCGGCCTCACCTCCCAGCGGTGGTGGATGGAGGTGGTCTCGGAAACCTTCCGGCTTTCGGGCCTCCAGGATGAAGTTCTCCTCCGGCCGTTGGTGGAGAAGCTGTACTGGGATTACAGCACTGGCCACAACTGGGAGCTGCTCCCGGGGGCCCGGGAGACGCTGGAGGGGTGCCGAGCCCTGGGCATCCCCATGGGGGTGGTCTCCAACTTTGACCGCAGGCTGCCGGACCTCCTTTCTCAGTGCGACCTCCGAGAGCACTTCCAGTTCATCTTGACCTCGGAGGAGGCTGGCTTCGCCAAGCCCGACCGGCGCATCTTTCTGGAGGCCCTCCGGATCGCCGGGGTGGCCCCCAACCTCGCAGCCCACGTGGGGGACGATTACGAGAACGACTATGTGGCTTCCAGGGCCGTGGGGATGCACGGAATCCTCTTGAAGGCCCCTGAGCAGCCGGGCAAGGGGGAGGCCGAGGTGCCACGCGCCCACCTCCTGCCATCGCTCCCACATCTGCTGTCTCTTGTAGAGCAAGGCTAAGAGGAGCACGGCGCATGTGCGCCCATGTGTGTGTTTGTGAGTTCTGAATCCTGAATCCAAAGTTTGTTCTAGTCTAGCCAAATCCAGGCTGTCCACATGGGGAACCTCATTTTTGGGGGGGTCTGGCGTGGGGCCCACAAATCAAAGCCAATTCCTCCCGGGAAGTTTTTCCCTCCCCTGTTTTTCTTGGAAATTAAAAAAACAACGACCCTTCCTGGTTAATGCACAAACTCATTCATGGTCGCGATGGTGACCGTTCGGACCATCGTCCGGCGAAGCCGCCACTCACATAGCGTTATGACCTGAGAGGGGACGAAAAGGGGGAATTCGGCACTGCTTTCCTTCTTGGCGCGAAGACACAATGGCACTGACAAGGTCAGGGAACCAGATGGATCACCCCAATGGCAAAATGGGGGGGCTTCTCTGCCCCACCCCAGGCACCTCCCTTTCTGCCACGTTCGTGGCCAGTTTGAAACGTGGGGACGATTTCACCGAACTGGCAAAACCCTCCTCTTCTGGACTGCCTTTGCAGGTGGACAGATAATGTGCTTTGGGGAGAAAATAAAAATAAAACCTTCTGGACAATCTCATTTCTTTTTTTAAAAAAAATGTAATTGTATAAATTATTTGAAAGATTACGTCTGCCAGATTAGAGCAAGAGAAGGCGCAGCCCCGGGTATAGTTGTTCGGGTGGCAATAATCCGGCTGTCCTGGATGCGGAATTTCAGTTTCTCGTCCCTGCTCTTCTGTCCACAAAGGGACGCAGAAAAGGTGTCCCCCCACCAACTCCCCACCACCAACCCTTGTCTACCCCTCCGGAGCACCACCGCTATTTAAGGCAAGGTTTTGCACATTGGGACCCTCGCCCCTCTTGCTCGCTCACTCGCTTGTGCACTCATGCACACCTAGGTACACGCACCGTGGGACCTGCAAACCTAGTGCCATCTTATGGGGGAAGGAAGAGCGAGGACTTGAGCCCATCCACGTTCAGGCCATGCTCCCTCCTTTTCAGAAAAGGCGGATGTCACCTAAGGCCCCGTTCCCATTGCAACTCCACTGGGACCCCCACCTCACATCAGAGAGATGCTCTGATCCGCCACGGCCACCGCGGGGTAGAGGGGGCCGGTGAAGTTCTCGCGGTGCGTGTGCAGAATCGTGCAGGAATCGGGGTCGTAGAAAAGGAGTCCTCCGGCGTCTAAATCCAGCAGCACCCCGATTTCGGCCGGGCACTTCAGGAGCTCCACGGTCTGGTGGGAGTCGCGGTGGGAGAACTGGAACTCTTTGTCGTAGCGGGAGAAGACCCAAGAGGCCGGGTTGTAGCCCAGCCGGGCTTCCGGGCCGGCACCCTTGCGCTGCAGGGAGGCGCTCGCGATCCCCAGCTTGTATGCGCCGCTCCCGGCCACCCGGACTCGCCATGCGTGGACCCCGGCGCAGAAGGATTCCTCGGCCAGGGCGTTGGGCCAGTGGTCGAAGCGGGCCGGGCCGTCCAGCTGTTTCCGGGCCTTCCTGGGGTTGAAGGTTAGCGTTTTCTTGTCTTCGGAGAGCGTCAGGAGGGGGCTGACCGTTTTCTCATCAATGTGGACGTGATCTGGCAGGAGAAGGCAAACGGGTCAGGGGGTGGGTGGAATGGATAGATTTCCAGAGGGCTCAAGGCCGGTCGCCTCGATGCCAAGATGTGAAATCCTGACCCCCTTAGCATCCCCATAGCTTCGTATAACAGGGTTCCAACATTTAATTAGTTAAAAGGCGTTTCTCTGAATCTCTGGCATCTGGAAAGTAGGTCCCTTAATATTCAGCCAGAATGTACACGAGTGTACACAGATACAGGTCTGACGCAGAACGAAGTGATGCTAGCAGATCCCTGCAGGTTTTCTCCCTGCAGAAGAAGACACTGACCTGCCGCCTGGGAGAGAACAGCTAAGGCCCACAGCCGGTTCACCAGTGGACTCTGGATGCAGTGCGGATTAAAGTTTAACTTCTCCGACTCTTGGGGCTGCAGGATCCCCTCGGCTTCTTCCATCCTATTGAGGACAACAGCAGAAGGAACCAGAGTTTGCATTCGGGGAAGGGTCAGTGGCTCCTTGCTGTCTGTAGCAAAGCTCGTGCTGGGTCTTGAGGACTAGCACCCCTATTTAGCTTAACAGTCACAACGCGAGTCACCTTCACGCTTCAAACGGGGAAAGAGCTGAGACGAGGCGGCCGTGAGCTTCCCCTCAAGGATTTGCTGAAGCCAGGGTGGATTCGGGGGCTGGTTTGCCCTCAGGCGCCTTACAACCCCCCACTCATGTTAATTGTGTTATTTTAAAACCACGAGGCTGTGGGACGCATTTGGCAACACAGCCATGAGAGGAGGGTGGAAAGGGACGGTCCATTGATTTGTGGTACGGCCGCAGGAAAATGTCAGAAAGCAGGACCTCCGGGAGAGCAGGCAGGAAAAAGGAGGAAACCTGGAGGACGCCAGCAACCCCCCCCCCATGGATCCTGATTTGGCAGGATTCGCATGATGTTCTCTTGGGGGAGGCCCTATGGGGCAGGGATGGGGTGGGGTGGGGAGGGACCCCCAGTGGACTCACCTTTCCAAGATTTCTTCCTCTGCCTGCTGAACAGAAAGGGAGGGAGAGCGTTATAACCATCCAGGACGCGCACCGCATCCCCATTGCTAACGGAGGGAAAGGGGGGCGCACAGAGCTGAACGCCAGTGGAAAATTCATTTCCTTCATCTTATTTAAAATATTTCTACCCCCCGCCCGTTCTCCTCCAACGAGGACCCAACGCGACCCCATCCGGCCTAGGAAAGATCCGTTTGCACACAAGGCAAAAAGTTAGACCCACAGATGCGCGAGTCGGTTTCCGGCCGTATTCTCAAAAGTGAGATAAAATACCGCCCGACGCTAAATGCTCGCTCGTCCCTGCTTTAGAACGCTAGCTAGCCCTGCCGTCGCTGGCTTCCGCAGTTCTCAGGCAGGAAGCAAAAATGCTTTGTTTTCCCCCACCACCTACCCCATAGCCTTAGCAATGTATATTAATAACCTTGCCTGCAACAGGGCGAAATAAGAACAGAATCCAGATTTTAAACTTCTTGATCAGCAAATTTTGCCTGGTGTTGTAGAACAATCAGATGTATGGGGGGGAGGACTCCTAACCTTCACCCTGGAATTCCCACCAGGAAGATAGGAAAAAAAATATTTTCCTGTAAAGGTTCTGGGTTTCAATGGCCGCTTCTGGATGGATGCCGAAGTTTCACATTTCTGTGCTTAAGACTTTACTCCTATGTTCCTGAAAACCCTTCTGAGTGGAAGCATAAATAATGAGTTATAAATATTCAGGGCTATGGCTATGAGGATGCCCAGCATAGAATTGTGGGCAGAGTATAATCACAGGCCAGGACTCTGTGGATCTGGGTTCAAAACCCCAGCTCGGCCACGGAAATGTTCTGGCCAAGCGGCTCCTTAAACCTTTCCCTTGCCTTAAAAGCCCTCTCATGAAGTCACGACGGCCAGGTAACCCTAACCCTGAGGTATCAGGTGGCTGAATAAAGCCGCCCGGAGCTCTAAATAGACCTCTCAGAGCAGATCAGCAGCACAGAGGCTATGGGACCTCCCCGGCACCGTCAGCTCCCTCGGGACGCGTCTCCAGCCCTTACCACAAGGCCGTGGTCGTCCGTGGCCGTGATCATGGCCACCAGGTAGGTCCGGAGGGCCTCCAGCTTCTGAAGGGCCTCCTTCCAATGGGCCTGCTGGGTCAGGATGCTCTGGTGGGCCCGCTCCTCCTCCGTGTGGGCCGCCTCCAGCAGCCGCTGCTCCTCAGACTCGCAGGCGCTCCTCACCAGGTTGAGGCGCCGGATCAGGACCTCCCGGGCGTGGCTGGCCGTACTCTGTCCACGAAAGAGGAGGCAGAGTCAGCCTGCGGGTCAGCCTCGGACCGAGGGATTCTCCCGAGGGCGTGGAAGACGCTGCTGGGGCTTGAACCCAGGACCGTCCACATCCAGGGCCCTCCATCATTTCCACCCCCCCCAGGACCGTCCACATCCAGGGCCCTCCACCATATTTCCGCCCCGACCAGCCCTCCTCACCACCACGCTCTGCTTCTTCTCCGCCAGCACTTCGGCCATGAACTTGGCGATGGCCGCACTCTGCATCTGCAGCTTTTCACACTGATCCACAACTTTGTTCTGAAACAAACCCCAAAAAACAGCCGCAGGTGAGATGCTCTGGCTCTTTCCCGTGTCCGGAAGAGAGACGGCGAGCAACGCTTCTCCGACCGCGCAGGAGAAAGGGAACCGTTTCGGACCTCCGCATTTTACAATCAGGGAAGTGGCTGGACCCAAAGGTTGTCGGCCCCAGGGCCCAGAAAGCAAGCTTTCGGGACCCCCAGCCAGATGGCGGGACCCTAACCCTAATCTAACCTGTAAGGCCGGGGAGGTTGAACCGGAAGTCTTGTCATCCGGCTATGCTGCCTCTGAGCATGTGCAGTGTTCGTCCCCTGCCCAAGGCCCAAAGTTTAACTAAGAAAGCCCTTCCATGGCTTGTCTGGAGACCCCCACCGTGTCCTGATCTTTGCAACTTTTCACAGAAGCCTCTCCTGGAAAGAAAGAGCTGGTCTCCCAGCTGATGATCAGCACCCTGGTGAGGGTAAATGCACTCTGCACGTGCGGGGAGATGCCTTCAACCCCCTTCCTTCCTTCCCTGGCATCTTCAGCCTTATCCAACTTAGAAGACTTTCCCAAGGCCAAGAAATCAAGGACGGAGAGGGGGACCGGGGAGCGCGCGTCCGGCCGGAGGGAGAGCTGGGGGAAGAGGTTGGGGGGCTGAGCCCCCTCCTGCCCC